GGAATCCCAGGCCGTATGAGTCAGCCTGGACCGATTCTGAAAATAATTGCAGCCTAAGCTGGAGAGTAGCCCGAAGCTTCTTTGCTTGGTGAAAGTCCTGAAAAGCGCGCAGGGAACGGCGCTGAACGGAACAGGGCTCCAGGTTCAGGAAGATTTTACCATGCACCCAAGAACCCCCCCACACACACACCATTTGCGGACTGATATATATATAAAAATGTGGCATCATAAAGTGCCAGACCCAAGAAGCCTGCTGGCAAGGGATCCAGATTCCAGCCTGCAACGGCAAGCTGGGCACTCCGTGGAATCTGGGGCTGTTTAGAGAGCTTTGTGGGGAGGGGGTGGAAGCAGGATCTCAGAGCCCCCACTTAGGGAAGGACCCGAGTAGCCGAAGCATTCACAAGAGGAGAGGGAGACGCGGGTTTCATTGCAGAAATAAAACCAACCTAAAACATGGGAAGGGGAAAAAATGCGTGTCAAGAAAGAAAGCGGAGCCTCAAAGGGATCCCGGATCCGCTCCTCGAGTCTCCCGAAGGGCCTGCCTTTAATGTCCAGGGAGGGAACTGGGGATCGAGAGCGGCCGCGGGTGGGGGGGCTGTCTTTTCGCTGCGAGGGTGGGGGAAGCAAAGAGCGCGAAGCCTCCGGCAAGCCTCTTGCAGGGGCGGGAGTCGCTGGTTCGTTTGGGAACCTTGGCGGGTCTCTCCACGAACCGGTGGCCTCGAGGGGACCGGAGGCGGAGCTGCCGGCGTTTTCCTGGCGAAGGAAGTCCGACTAAGGAGCGAAGCGGCGACCTTTGAGGCTCCCTTAAAGGCCGCGAAAAGAGAAGCAAACGCTAAGTTAGCTGCTGTCTCAGAGGCGCTGCCGTCGCCGCGGGAAAGGGCTCAGCCCGAGAAACGGAAAGGGGAGGGGGAGAGTTGGGAGTGAAAGGGGAGTGTAGAAGGAGCTTCCCTCCGGGGTGTTCGTCGATTTTTATTTATTTATTCGTTTGTTTTTGGAGAAATGAAAAAAAAAAAAAAAGCAGGTCCAGCAGAGTCAAGCCGCCCGCGCGGGGAAGAGGCGCCCAGGCGGGGCCAGCATTTCGGGAATTCCACCCAGATATATAGGGGGGGGGGAAATATGTCTCCCCCCAATCTCCTCCGAGTTCCAAAATGTTTGTTAAGAAGTCAATCTTGATTTTAAGACGTTGTCTTAATGAACGGGGCAGACTATTCTTTTAGTTAATCCCACAGCAGAAATGTTCAGAAATGACCCAACCACTGTTGTGGTGATATAAAACCCCAAACAGCGCGTTTGAAAGAAACAGATTAAAATTCGGTCCTGATTTTAAATTACTCCCATTTTGGAGTACGGAGATTATCCATTCCTTCCTTCCTTCCTTCCTTCCTTCCTTCCTTCCTTCCTTCCTTCCTTCCTTCCTTCCTTCCTTCCTTCCTTCCTTCCTCACAAAGCAAGGGTATATAGAAAACATGCTTACCAGAATATTCTGTATCTGGACACTGATTCGAAAGATATAACATCCCTTTTCTTATTAATTTAAACAGCCAATTCTTAACGTGAGCTGTCTACGCAGATAAGCAAAATGGATGCTATGTATATATGATATGCAAATGGTTAATTATAGTGGTAGTGACTTATCTTGTCATCCAATTAGATAATTATAGGATTTTGGATTTAAAAGACTGAAAGCTGTGCCGGCCTCATTTTTTTTTAAATGGAGAAGGCATGACATAAGGTCCTCAAATAAATGTTGATATATAGTTTCACACCCCTTTGTGAAATGATTTAGAGTTAAATCGGGAAATTTCTTGCAAAGAAACAAGACAAGATTAGGCCCAGTTATTTCTGCAAGGAACCTGGTCACTGGCACAATTCTTCCTATTGGTGGAAGCTTTGCTATTGGTCAGGTGAAGGTAAGCACAGTCAGCGTCTTTGATATCCCTTTTTTAAAATCATGAACTGTACAGTAACTGTAAACTGTACGTGACTGTACCTTATCGTATCAATTCGTGTTGCAAAGTGGCACTGTTCATTGTGAATATTTCTTGTTGTGGGATAGGAAACGAACAATATTTTTATTCCATACAGTTTTAGATTTATTTTTATTCCATGCAGTGTTAGATGCCAGGTTTTTGGATTTTGTTTTTGTTTTATGTGATAGAGAAAAGTCCAGGCAAGCTTTTGTTACCTTCAATGCAGTCATCTCTTTCTCTCTCAACAGAGCTATACAATTGTTGGTTCTACGTACACACCTGAGCTCTTCCTTCTCAAAAGTCCTTCACCTCTAAAATAAAAACCAAACCGCATTTCCTGTCTCAAAACCTCAATAGAAAGCAGAACGAATCGCCTGGAGACTGGAATCCGAGCAAGATACTCAGCCCATCCCAGAGATTCGCTGATCTGTCTTTTATAGGAGATCCTTCCTCTAAATCTCTCTCAATTATTTTAGATGGAGAAGGAAAACCAGCTGATCATCAGACCTACTGAGGCGTTGGTTTTGTTAATCCCCAGGATGCTGTTTCTGTTTTGAAAATTTCTCTGCCTCCAATAGCCAGAGTATAGTTTTCCTGACTAACAGCCTCCTCTGCAAAGAGCGGGACTCCTGTGTTGGCCAGCTTCAATCTGGCTCCTTGGTGACAATTAAAAAAGAAGGGAGGGGGATTCCGGAATAATGCGAACACCCCCCCCCCACTTGAGAAGGGAAGCCAAGCGGGAGAGGGACACGGATTATTCCGGCCAAGTAAATTCCTCTAAAGGAGGGGAAAGGGGGGGACATGCCTCCTCAGTAGGCCAACTGTGGAGAAGCCTATCTCGCAACTGAAAGGGTCTCCCCCGCCCTTGCCCCAGGGCTCCAGGCAAGTTCTTGGCCATATCCGAGAGGCTGTGCTTCCCTCGCTGTGGAAAGGAGGGTTTCGATCTAACGCTTCCCACCTTTCTGGGAAGGGACTTTTAAGCAGGAGTTAAGACATTAATTTCACTAAATCTCGGTGACTAGATCTAGCGAAATCGGAGGAGGGAGATTTTGCTCCCTTGAACACACGTGTAGAACAAAGTAACTGTCGCAAAGAAAAGAAAATCTCCTAGGCCAGGAGTTTTTCTCTGGAAAGACAGGGCTGTCACTTTTGCTACTCCGGGGATGGTTAATATGTAATTCCGAAATAGGCCAAGTAGAGATTGTCTTACCAATCTTACAGGGTTTTTTTTTTTGGAAATACATGTAAGACACATGTACAGGTTTTGTTGACCGTCCCTTCCCTTGGGACAGGAAATGTATTTTATTCGCCGGCGTGTAAGGAAAAAAAACCTGCACTAACACGCTTATTACCAACATTTCGAAACTGCCTCTCGGGGAGAAACCGACAAAGCTGCCCAGTCCATTTTCTCGGGCTATTTTAACTTGGAAATGGGTTGCCTTACTTGCTCCGAATGGACTGGCCTTTGATCTGGGTGACTTCTTCAAAACAAGCAAGTCCCAAGGCGTGTCGGCCTCAGGTAAATGATAGTCGACAACAAAAACAATATATTGTTTAAAAAGCGAATGAATCCAGTGGTAGCGAGCATAATTGTTCACGGATCGATTCCCTGTTTTAATTGTCCTACAGGAGAGTCCGAAGCAGCGTGACCGACTTTTAGTTAAACAAACAATAATTAAATCTGAGAGAAGGAAAGAGAAGAAAGTATGTAATAGGTAGTGAGCCTCCCCTTTCCTTTCCCAAATATAAAATGTAATACTGTACCTCGTCGGTATTCCCTTTGAGGGCAGCCGCTGAACCTGAAGATGTAGAAGGCGTAAGAGAAAAGGAAAAATTAGTCTGTGCTTTGAAACCCTCAGGACGGCCATCCTACGGTGTTAGTGGCAACCTTTCTATCTGATCTTTCGTCGTTCTCCCCACCCTTGACAAGTGTCACCCCAGGAAAATGTGAGGTTCAAAGAGCACAATCAATCGGCAAAGCAACTACTGTTTTCAGTGGATTTAATAAATGCCTGGACAACAAGGCGACAGAAATTTGGGACAGAGAGAGAGAAAGAGAGAGAAGAAAAAAATAAGGAGGAGAAATGAAAACTATTTGCTGAGGGTTCCCCCCCCAAATGTATCTTCCCCTCCCCCTTTGGACCCTTTTAGCGCTCCCCTCCCCTTAAAACAGTTTATTTGAAAGAAGCTTCGGGTGGACACTGTAGACATCCGAGTGGCCAATCAGAAAGGCTCTTTCCCCTCTCGGCCAATGGCAGGCGCCACATTGTTGTCAAATGTTGTCTAATGGATACGTAAGGCGCAACAATAGAGCAAGCGCTCGCGGGCGGTTCGGCGAAGATTTCTATCTCTTGGCAACTCTCGCTCTCTTTAGTGGCGCACATGCAAAGTTGGGGCTGAGGAAAGGGGGGTCCGGACTGGGCTCGGCTGCCTGTTGAAGGCGGCTTTGGTTGGCGGGGTTGTAGCTGGAGGAAGGGGTAGCTAGAGTAGACTGAGAAAAATTAGAGGGCGGCTGAGAAAGGAGCGCGGGCGCGAATCAGGAAGTTGGAAATTGTTGCACTCTGAAGTCTGAAACCTGGCGGGGGTCAGAGGAGTCCTCTGTCTTCTGCCACGGTTAGCTCGGCTGGCGTGCGATTGTGACAAGCTGAAATCTTGGACGGGCACTGGGACTGCTGCGTCTCCAGGGGCTCGTGCGCGCTTTCGTCAGGACAGTGTTTTGTAACATTGGCAAGCGAGGGAGCGCAGCTGTTCTCCTTTCCTCGGGTTGTGGCAGGAGCGCCTGCCGTCGGGTTCCGCCGCAATTTCTTGCCAGGGAAGAAATCAGCGGGAGTGAGCCGGGGCGAGTTCTGCTTCGCCGCGCTGCTGAGAAGAGATGGAATGGCTGGGTAGCCATTTTGATGGTTTCGGAGTTTGGGGGCTTTGATTCGGGGGGCGGGGGGAGCCAGGAAGCCCCGATTTCCGCTACCCTAGGATCCACGTCCATTCCGTGGGCGATTGAGCCGGGGCAACAAAGAAGGTCGAGGGGGGGGGGCGTTGTTTGTTTGCTTCCTCGAAGAGTAAACGTCGTTTACTTCCCCGAAGTTAGGTAACGCAGATGCGCTCTAGAGTAGAGGGGGAGATTGTAGAGGAAGGGCTGAGACGCGCCAGACTTTTCGGAGGGAAAAAAGTTCTCAATTTTTGTAATTTAACCGGCTTCGGAGTGGCTGGAGGGACTCAGGCTATTAGGCAAGCTGAGCAACTCGTTAGCCTCTCGCGGAGTGGCGGGTTGTTCCAGGAAGGCCCTGCCCTGTTTGACCCGCGGCAGTCTTGTTGAGGTATTAAAGGCGCCTCGGCGGGGAGAGGGCCCTGCGCCTCTGCGCCTTCCCTGGAAGCCACGGCGCCCCTTCTTGGTCACGATGGAACTGAGGTCTGAGATGACCAATGTACCCCCGGCGCCCTCTGCGGTGCCCCCCAGTTCGGTGGCGGCAGCGGCGGCGGCGGCGGCGGCAGCGGCCAGCCTGCCGGTGAGCGTGGCCGGGAGCCTTCTGCGAGCCCCGCCGCTGCTCCTGAGGGCTGCCGAGAAGTATCCGCGCACCCCCAAGTGCGCTCGCTGCCGCAACCACGGCGTGGTGTCGGCGCTCAAGGGCCACAAGCGCTACTGCCGCTGGAAGGACTGCCTGTGCGCCAAGTGCACGCTGATCGCCGAGCGGCAACGCGTCATGGCCGCCCAGGTGGCGCTGCGGCGGCAGCAGGCGCAGGAGGAGAACGAGGCCCGCGAGCTGCAGCTGCTCTATGGCACGGCCGAGGGGCTGGCCCTGGCCGCGGCCAACGGCATCATCCCGCCGCGGCCCGCCTACGAAGTCTTCGGCTCCGTGTGCAGCACCGATGGAGGCTCGGGGGCTTCAGGTGAGGAGCTAGCGCGCGCCCCGACCCTGAGGCTTTGGCGACGAGCTGAAAGGCGCTGGTTTCCCCGCCGCTCTGGGGAGTCGGACCTTCCCTCGTCTAAGTAAACGTGACAGGCGGCAGGGAGTCCTGTGGAAGTTCTGAGAAAACCAGCTTGGGCGCCCGGGCCCCGTTTATAGCCCCTCGGGCCTCAGGAGTTCTCCCACGAACGTTAGGATGGGGCCGGCCGCCGAGGAGGAAAGGGGCCGGGGCTGAGCTTCCCAGTTTTTTCTTTAGGCAGCCTCGCGCAAGTTTAAAAAGGAGTCCTTCTCCCCGGATGCTTCCGCCCACCTTTTGGTCCTTCTCGGTCCGCCTGGACTTCTTCCCGCGCTCTCTCGTCCCACGCACAGTTCGTTTCCCTTCCACGCAGCCACCAATTGCTCGCCCTTTAACACCATTTGTAGACCTCAAATCTCAGCGGCCGTTCGGGATTTCTTCTCGATCTATATAAGGAGTTCCCAACGTCGCGGACGGAGTTATTAAAAAAAAAAAAAAAACCTAGCCATTGCCTTTAACAATGAAATATTGGCCAGGCATTTCTAAATTGATAGTCCCACTCGTGTTTGCCGTGTCAAACGCGGTGAGGGCTCACACTGTTGCTTTTTCTTAGCAATTTCTTCTCTTTCTCGCTCCCTTCCTCTCTCCCTCGTATCCATAATGTCTTCCACACCCATTTGAGTTCCACTTAGTGTCCCTGTAATTGTTTGACGCCATTGGATTCACTTCCAGGTAAGTTAGTATTGCTATGTAGTAAACTACCCCTTGAAAATATAGAGGCCTGTCACAGCTGGCATCAGCCTCGAACTGAGCCCTCCCCAACCTGGCTGCCTTCCAAGTTTTCTTCAGCGATGCCACTAGAAGTTATGATGGGAGCTGTCTTCCCCTGCATCAGGGGACCAAGTCGGGGAACGTTTTCCTTGTAAATTTTTTTTTTTGGGGGGGCACCTTGACCGTCCCAAGCCAGAGAGGCGAGAGAAAAGATAGCGCCTCCTAGCGACCTCAGCAATTTAGCCCGGCCAGGAGACGCCCTACCGTAGTTACAACGGCGAGGTTTGATTTCATGTCCTAAAGTAGCTATTTAGGAATTTCACCAAGGTGAGCCGATGGTCTCCCGGTAGGTGCCATCTGGGGAGGGGAGGAAAGAGACGGCAAGATATGGCCTGGAGGGTAAATTGGGAGGACAACCAGAAGCCACCAGAGACAGCGGAAAGGGGGGATGGACAGAAGCGTGGGTGAAATCAGGCTAGGGTAGAGGAGGGCAAGATCCATTGGGTGGGTTCTCTGTGGGACAGGAAGGCGAGTGGTGGCTGAATTAAACTCCTTGGTTGTTAAACCATCAGGAAGTCCCGAAAAGCGCTCAGCTAAAGTCCACTCGCTTTCCCATTTTTGTCAAGGTGAAAGTACTTAATGGGCCCCCATCCGGCCCTTGGAGGGGGGAGGCGGAGGCGGGGCACGCTGGCGGGGAGAGCCTCGTCCAGCTCACTCTTTCTGTCTCTCGTTGCCAGAAATCAAGATGCAGAAATTTGACTTGTTCCCCAAGACGCTTCTCAACAGCCGCTCCGCGACCCCTCAACACAACAAGCCTTTAACGCCGGATGGGACGGACGGCGCGCCAGGCACCTCATCCCCGGAGCTGACTCGTCACGGCTGTGGCTCGGGCTCGGAGAACGGCGACGGCGAGTCTTCGGTCAGCTCGCCAGTCTCCAAAGGCGCCAAAGATGGCAGCGGGGGCGGCGGAGCAGAGGAGGAGAGCACAGGCTCCGTCAGTCCGCTGGGCTCCGACTCGGGTTGCTCTGAGGCAGAACGGGACGAAGCAGGTGCCCCCTCGCCTGGTTTGGCCGCTGCTGCCGCGGCCGCCGTGGCGGCGAGCAGCCGGCAGCAGCGGACGCCGTTGGACATCCTGACGCGCGTCTTTCCCGCGCACAAACGCAGCGTGCTGGAGCTGGTCCTGGCCGGCTGTGGCGGGGACGTGGTGCAGGCTATCGAGCAGATCCTTAACAACCACCACCACCACCACCACCACCACCACCACCGGGGAGCAGGCGGCAGCCCAGGCCAAGGACTTTCCGCCGCCTCTGGACTCAGCTCGATAGGGCCGGACAAGGCGAGCGAGGAGACCTGGGCGCGGGCTGCTGGAGACGCGCCGGGGACCTTGGCTGGCCTTCAGCCTTCATCGGCTGGCGGCACCTCGCATCACCGCCCTCTTTTGGCCGGCGCCATGACCCCAGCCATTGGCGCGCTGGGCAGCCGTTCCGCCTTCTCGCCTCTGCAGCCCAACGCTACCCATTTCGGGACGGCGGCTGAGGCCGGGGCCTATCCCCTAGGCACGCACTTGAGTTTGAGCCCGCTACGCCTAGCTTACTCGGCCGCAGCTGCGCACAGTCGCGGCCTGGCCTTCATGACCCCTTACTCCACGGCGGGGCTAATGCCCACGCTGGGCTTCCGGCCGCCTATGGAGTACGCCTTCAGCGACCTCATGCGGGACAGATCAGCTGCAGCGGCGGCTGCTGCCGCTGCCGCCGCCGCTGCCGCCAGCGTGCACAAGGAGCAGACGTACCCAAACGGGCTTTACGGGCCCTTGGTGAATAGCGCCCCAGAGAAACAGTAGGCCGCAAAGCCGATAGCTGGATTTTCTATGTACATACATACGCATAGAGCGATAGATATACATATATATGATATAAACTCGTGCCTGTGCGTACATCCGAGAGGTGCGCAAGGGCAGCTGAGGCAGCGAATTCTCGGAAGGCAGCGGGGGAGCGACCAGGTTTAACCGAGGGCTCGATTCCCCGCCGGCATCCTCAGATTACGAAACGCGTCAGTTAGAAGTAAGTTCCCCGGAAAACGAAGCAGCTGAGTAGTCCGAGTTGGAGCTGAGGCAGCGGCGGGGGAGGGAGGGTGGGTGTGTGTGTGTGTGTGTGTGTGTGTGTGTGTGCGCGCGCGCGCGCGCGCTACGGCACTTTTCGCGGAGCAAGCGAGAAGGAGAAGGCGCAGTCCCGCCGGCAGCCGAGTGAACGGGACATATTGCTAGTGATTTAGGGCGAGGCGGAATTTTGCAAAACATTATATAACCCGAAACGTGTAACGTGTCTATGGGCCGCGCTGTTGCCAAATTCTTCTGTCGGTTTCTGTAACAATGGGAAATCACCTGATTCCCCCCCAGCCTTGGTTTCGCCCGATTTTAGGTGACCTGGGTTTCATTTCACTCTATTTGTTGCAACCACAAGTGGTCAAATGTATGGAACTTGGCGAACCTCTAAATGTGTTGATTAAGCAAAACGAGTAAATGCGTTTTTACTGTTAAAGTTGTCCCTCATTATTATATTTTGCATATAGCTGTAAACATGGATATTCCCCTCGGGTCGCATCCATACTTCTATCTGTATCTCTATACCAGCAAATGTACAGCATAATGTTAAAAAATGAGAATTTAAATTATTAATGTAATTTGTAGCCGACGTTATTAATGGTAAACGGAACGTTAGTCAGTTTTCATTTTGGAAACACGTCATTCATAGAGATTAAACATATTGTAAAAAAAATTAACTCTTCGTTCTGTCTATTCCCAGGAGAAATATAATGTGTAAATAAGGTTAAAAAGTAAATATATTTGTAATTGTCCTTTCCTTTGGACTCGATCCAAAGGCCGTTGTTGACCAGGATTTAATGAATGATCTGACTGAAAATGCTGTCTGGTTTCAGTAAGAAACTTCTTGCCATTTCAAACAAGGTTTTTCTGAGTTTGTTTTTCCCCTTCTGTTTTCATTTCATAGAAAACTAGAAATAAATATTATTTTGTATTAAAACCTGTCATAGTAGTAACTTCTGCTGTTTCGTTTATTTGCAATATTTTAGCTTCTGAGGACAATTCCAATTTACATCAAATGAAGAATTGGTTTCAGATTATTTTCAGTAATCCCGGCAGCTTCAATTAAACCGATCAGTCTAAAATAGGTGATTCTGTCAGTAATATGTAACCAATTCTGCAGTTCAAATACATATTATATTATAGTTACAATGTTCTTACTGCAAGAATTTTGGAAATATCTTTCAAGAATAGAACAATTTCCCCCCCCCCCAAGATTGGTGTTTCTAGTGGTGAACCTAAAGACTGATATTCTGCGGGTGTGAATTATTCACACGGCTCTTGGTCTCCTTATATGAGAATAAGCCCATTTATATTCAGTAGGATTTATTTTTGAACCAGTGCTATAGGATTTCATTTGTGCCCATAACTCTGTAAAATATTATTTTACTGCTTTTGATCATGATGACAAAATCCAGCAATTTAAACCTGGGAATACTATTTGTATCAAATTTACCAATAAGAGCCTCTATTCCTCCTCTCCTGCATTTCAGAATTTACATTCTACTTTTTAATATTCAATCAGAGAGGAGCACACCTTGAATTTCTAGTTTAATAGGCTTCCTAGCTCTTGGCCAATAGCTTGTCTATAAGAAAACAGACTGACAAAGGACAGCGGAAATTTTATTCAAGCCAGCTCCCTGGACATTTTTTGTTTTTTTTATATAAAAGCTAATTTAGAGAAATCTGACAAGATTGGGAGTCTTTGGTATTATATATCAATCAGTCCTAATTGCCCTTCATGGAAAGAAAGCTCAGTGGTCTAAAAAATCATTTAGGACTTGGAGGAAGAAAACAATAACCGAGACTCCTTTTTTTCTATGTTGCTAAATAAAGCTATGAAGTAAAAGAGCTGGTAGGAATCTCCTACTGTACCTCCCTAAGGATAATGCTTCTGTAGGATGGATTTTTCTTTCTGTCCTGTGGAGTGTTTGGCCCAGGAAAACTATTACTCACAAAGAACAAGTTCAGTGCATGGTTGAATTAAGACAGTAAAAGCTCCTAAAATTGGTTGGTATGGAAACCTAATCCCACCCAACTGGTCTGTAGCACAGCTGGACTGTTTACTTTCTCACTTCAAATATAACTGTGTAAACATTGGCTTGAAACTGATGGCTCTGCTTCTATAACCAGTTAATATAATGTTGTTGGAATTTCTTGGAGGTTATTGGGACAAAATAATTAATAATAATAATGACAACAGCAGCAGCAGCAATAATAATAATAATAATAATAATAATAATAATAATAATAATACCACAGCAATAATGGTGTAGTGAAAGAGGCAAATGCAGATAATCAATTGTAATTCTCTCAATTCCTTTTTTTTCTCTATATTTTAGAACGCCATTAAAATATTTTTGGTAGGCGTGAGAGAATGAATGAAGGACAGTGAAAATGAGAATGACCAACCCCTGGCATAGGTGTTGAGGCTCTTGAATTTAAGGGGACTTACTGCTGGGCAAGTATATTTAGGATTGCAACTCGTGTATGATAAATATGATCAATTACCTTGGAAGTTAATTTTTTGCTCCTACCTCAAGCCATAAGAATGACTAAATTAATATAAGTAGACTTTAAGAAAAGTTTCATGTTTCAAAAGGATTGAAACATAATATTGCCACAATAAAATGGATTAATATTGAAGAGCTTTAAAAGTGATCGAATTGATTGAGTTTCCTAATAACAAGTTAATGAAAAAAAAAGGGAATTGTCTGTTGGATTGTAAACTGACAGGGTTGTGTAGAAGGAATAGCTGAAAATGTAAGAAGGTTTGGAAACATAAGCTGAAATCTTGGTGGTAGTGTATCCACACAATTCTGTGGAGCCTCAGCTGTGCTGAGGATAGCTATGGAACAGCTATGGTTTTCTTACCTCTAAAAACAAATACACAACTTTCCTTCCCCTCCCCCCAAAGCAAAGAATCTGTTTTAAGAAGTTTCTTTTCCCTTCTACATTTCTTTGCCTTACAGCAATGTCTCTGTCGATTAAAAAAAAAATCAAAATGGTAGCCACAACTATGCGATTGAAGCCCCACCCTTTTTAATATGCCCCACAATTCATTAGGAATAACAGAAAAACAGTTGGAAGGGATGTTGGCAGTCTTCTAATCCAACCCTCTGCTCAAGCAGGAGATTCTGTACCCTTCCAGATAAACCTGGGGGTACTCTACTACATGTTTCCTTCCATGTAGATGTAGCTCTATTAAGGACCACAAGTAGAGTGGGTTGGTCAGCCAGTTGGGAATCCATCCATACATATATATAAAAGGCAGGGATTCAGTTACATTGTTGTAACCATCACATTGACTTTTTTGACCCCACTGCACATACTCCTGTTGCCTTGGAATCAGGAAAAGAGTAAGTGGAATACACTGATCTAGCTTCTCTGGATCATTTTTGTTTTTTGAGAAAGTTCTCATTGCACTGCTATTCAGAGTTTGTAAAAGATCTCCAATTGTATATGGTCTCACCTTAAAGTCTTAGAGATGTCACATATTAAACTCAGGAGCATTCATCAGCTTAGAATTTCAAGTGGCCAAAATATTGCTGAGACAATCCTGCCAATGTCCTACAATCATTTCCCCCTATTAGTTTGGACAACTCAAAGGTGAGTAGTGGACCTTAGAAGTGACCCCTGAAAGTGTTGGGAACATGTGAAAAGGACCCCTGGACTTTTCTATGGCCCAAGATGATCAGCTGAATTGGATAGAGGCAGATAAAAATCAGAGAGGATAGAGGTGGAACTAGATTGCTTCTAAACATAGGTGGAAAGCTATCCCTTACAACTGCAACTAAAAATCGCCATATCCAATGGATTTCACTTTATTTCTGTCAAACCCCAGTTTGCAGTCATTTTCCTGCAAAAAATGAGCACAGGTTTTATATGATTGCTCCCTATTATGCTATAATGGTGAATTTTCCTATAGCATCTCTAGAGCAGCCTGTAAGAAGAATGGGCTACATTCTTCCTTTTTCCTCTGCATGCTAACTCTTGATGTAAGATAGATGGAAACACATTGGCTTGGCACCATTTGTTGATCCAAATGGTGCTTTACCTGCTTGTGGCTGAATGCATTGCATAAACTGGCCCAATGTAGCTGTTAAACCAGAATTTATGGTTTAATGTGCTGAAAAATTTACCCACTTGCAGTTTATTTAGTATTCAATGGTTAAACAAACTACGTGTGTTGTGTGAACACAGCCAATGTGGAGCAATCATTTGGAAAATGATTGGTATTGAAAATGATGACAATTCTTTCACAAGGTTAGATTAAGTCCTAGGCTCACCAAATCGCAGATCAGCTCTTGCTTCTTTGTCACGTTATAGTGTACTGCTGCATATTTCTTCCCAGTCTCTTTTATGGGAATGATAGAAAGTTAGGTAATAGTAGATCTTACTCCTCAGAGGGGAACTGAAAAGCATTTTCCCAACCAGCACACGCTAACACTTTTTTAAAAAAATGCAGGCTGTGGAATTAAATTCAACACAGCAAGAATAAATAATTTGTAAAATGGAGAGGCAGCGTGCCAAGCATTTGCAAACTTTCTTGTTAATTAAATCTTAATCCATTGAGTTGCATTTTTACTGCCTGACTGTGTATTGAGAGTAAAACATGCCCAGGAAGTTTATTATCTGCCCTTGTGTTTAATAGAAATCAGCTGTAATCCACAGCATAATATACTAACAATTTAGTAGCAAAATGACATTCCTCATCCAAAATGTACTTGTTTCTTTCTCACTACCTGAACAATTATGTTATTGAAAGGACACAGAGCAGGCATGGGAGTTGATTCCTAAAGAAATTTAGCACAGATTTGAGAATCCAGAGTTGCTTTTCTGAGGCCTATTGGACCCTGATCCCAGATTTCTGTTGAGTAACTGTTGAGTAAGTTTCTCAGTAGATGACATACAGTATTTTTTTTACATTCAGTGATACTAATTTTTGCTCCATTCGGGAACAAAAAAATGGTTTCTTTGTTATACTAAGTACAAGATGCAGAACTTTATTTATTATTGAATTTATATCTCACTTTCTCCTTTATTCCAACACTCAAGACTGAATATATTTAACAACAAAGCACACCACAAAGAAAAATTAAAATTAAAATCAAAACCCAAATTAAAAACACGCATTCAAATAATTTAATTACCAATTACAAGTTTGGTGAAATAAGTGTGATTTATCATCTTCCTAAATACTGAAAAGGAAGAGCCAAAGTGACTCCTTGGGCATCATATTATACAGTATTCTGAAGCAACATGAGACCTTCCCATATAACCGACAGTCGACTTTCCTGCAGTGGGGCATCTTCAGAAGGGCCTTCCTGTTTGATCTAAGAAGGTAGGTTCATAGTGGAAGAGAAGATACTTTAGATCAGGGGTCTTCAAACTTGGCCCTTTTATGATTTATGGACTTCAACTCCAGAATTCCTCAGCCAGGCATGCTGGCTGAAGAATTCTGGGAGTTGAAGTCCACAAGTCATAAATGAACCAAGTTTGAAGACCCCTGCTTTAGATATTCAGGGCTTAAACTGACAATTTGTAGTAGCTGGTGGCCAGGCAGATCTTCAATATGAACATCATATGCTGTTAGTATTTTGCACTTGCCAACAGCCTAGGTCAGGGGTAGGCAACCTTGGCTCTTTTATGACTCGTGGACTTCAACTTGCAGAGTCATAAAGTAGCCAAGGTTGCCTACCCCTGGCCTAGGTTCTGTATTATGTCACACTGTCAATTTCTGAACTCTTTTCAAGAATAACCCTAGATGTATACTAGTATAATATAGTATAACACATACAATATAACAATGATATAATACCTTATACATAATAATGTCAGGGCATATTGTAAACAAGAGGTGAAAACCTTTTACTAATTTTGACTAGCTCAGGGTGCACTAGTCACAACCATGCAAATACATTATTTTACAGTGGCCTCCTACA